AGTAACGGAGTCTATAGATTTGTGTAGAGCATGGGTGGTAGAATGGCCTTTTCTAAATCCAAACTGTGAGTCTGTTAGTACACCTTTAGATGTGAAGAAATTATAGAGGCGTTTATAAATGACCTTCTCGAAGATCTTTCCAAATAAAGGTAATATTGATACAGGCCGATAATTTTCAATGCATTCTTTATTGTCTTTCTTGTAAATAGGAATAACTTTACCAGTTTTAAAAATACTTGGGAATGTACCACTTTGTATACATGTGTTGTAAAGCCTAGCCAAGGTACCAGCAATGAGCTTGGCCGGTTTTTTTACAACAACTATAGGTATGTCACTTGCCTTACCATTTTGAAAGTCTCGGATCACCTCTATAATTTCTTCTTCATTAGTTTCTTCCAGGTATATGGAGTCAGATACCGAATTAGACATAAACTGAGCAAATGATTCTACTGGTTCCAGAGAAATACTATTGTTTGACAGTACATTTTTATTGAGATTACTTGCAAGAGATGTAAAATATTCACAGAATTTGTTAGCAATTATTCGTCTGCAAGTAACTCTCTGGCCATCTATGACAAAATCGTCCTTACATCTAGACAAATTTTTGCCACGGAGTTCATTTATAATTTCCCAAGTCTTTTTTGAGTTCATGCTGTACTTCTCGAATTTTTGAGTATAGCACATGGCCTTTGCCATCTTTATTGAGCTCTTGAGAAACTTGTCGAATTCCTTGTAGTAGATGTGCTTGTTTGGATCCCCATCAGGTAGTTTTAATGTACAAGTCTTCTTCCATTCGAAATACAACCTAGCTTTCTTGTCGATGGAGTTAATGAGGCCCTGGGTGATCCAAGGGTTGGTTATGCTGTTACGTTTAGTGGTTCTAGGAGTTAGAAGTTTGCAAGACAAATCTATCTTTTCTTGAAATAACTGCACGAAAGAGTCAAATGTGTTACAGCTGTGGTGGAACCTATCTATATCGTTTTCTATTTCAAGACAGAGCTTCTCTAAGTTAGCATTACTATAGTCGTAGTGTATAGTAATTTTGTCTGATGAATCAGGTGTTGGCACAGAGTCAGGGGAAAGTTCAATAAGAGTGAATATAGGGTGATGGTGGGAGATCTTGTCAGATATCACACCAGAAATAAGGGATTGATCTACGACATTGGTATGGATATTGTCAATACAGGTCCTGGAACAGCCAGGCATTTGGTGAGTTGGTACTGATATGGTTGGTATGAAGCCGTTGTTGAATATTATTTCTTGGAATTTGTCCTCTGATGGAGATGGGTCGTTCAAAATGTTAACATTGAAATCACCAAGAATATATACTTTTTTGCCATTCAGTTTTGAGAGAATACATTCATACGCTTTGTTGAACATCTCAAGTGATGCGTTTGGGGGACGGTATATAACCCCTACGACAGTTGGATCTTGCAAGCTAGTGATAGATACAAACAGTGATTCTATGTGTTCATTACAGAGAGATAAGTCAGTGATTTTGTTAAAGTTAAGGGAATCGTGTAGGTAAAGACACACTCCTGACCCTTTACCCTTGAACTGGTTTTTCTCTTGGCAAAAGTAGCGTGATTGGTAACAGGAGGAGTATCCGTTAAGCTGATACAGAGTTCCATTTTCGGGATTAGTGTTTGTTTCTGCAAGGCCGATAACAGAGAATTTGTGGTCGATACAAGACAATTCAACTGCAAAGTTGTCGAAGTTTGATGCATTTCCATCAATATTTAGAAATAATTTGGACAAATATTTAGCTGAATTTTTAGGTAGGATGGTGGCATTCAACTCTGTTATTGAGAATGTTTTGCAATTTTCAAGAATCTTTGAGCTATTGTAGATAGATTCAATATAATTAACTGGCTCATCATCAATGAGGCCATTGTTTGCAAAGTGGGGAGCTTGGTAGAAAGGGTTATACCGAACGATATCATTGGCATCAGTGCATATTTTGCAGTATGTTGCATCTCGAAATTTGACTATGTTATCATCAGTTTTGCATTTTTTGTGCATTATTTTGTCACACATCTGACAAGTTATGAATGGATGTCCAGCACGCACAGGTCTATTGCAGCAGCAGCAAATTTCGCATATTAGTTTGGCTATCATGACATAACTACGGATCTACGAGAACGTGGGGAAAATCTTTTTTGGGCCTTGGTAACATCACTGAACAACCTCCCATCAACGGGGCTACCTAGGATCTTATGTGCAATTGCCCGGGAGAGTTTAAAGATACCGCTTGACCCCAGGTGGATTGGGTCATCCGGCTTCTTGTATCTACAAAACTGCTTGTCCAGTAGACCCTCCTCATCAACAAAACTATCAAAATCTAAAGTGCCTATTCTAGTATTAGTATTACAGTACCCAAATAATAAACTATTAAACTCCATGGCTCTGTCATTCAGCCAGGAGGACCTAGTTGGAAGGATGGGTGAGACAATAACTTTAGAATATGGACACATATCACAAATATTCTTGAGCTTCTTCATCAGCTCATTAGCCCAATGTTTAACATCACCCCCTCCCCTCTTGATATTATTTATACCACAGTGTACTACAACGTTCTTGTATCCAACACAAAGAACAGGGTCTAACTGATCTATTGTGAAACATTCGATTCTTTTCCCAGGCAGCTTGTGTCCAAATGTTCCTTTTCCAGCCCCAAATTTGAGGAACCGGGTGTTTGAATCACCGACAATCAAGGTCGCATTGATGCTCCTGCTTACGTAGCGGAAGGTAATACTGTATCTTAAGTCCCTCTTTTCTGTGCTTTTATCAATTCGGTGGTCCCAAAGAAACTGGGACTGTTTGCTCATGACATAGAGACTACGTCCCTCTATTGTCTCTACGACCTCTCCTTCAAGCTGATCCTTTTTTGTGAATTTTACAGAGCAATCACCACCTAAGGATACTGTAAATATGGAACTATCATGGACCAGTGATTGCTCGTTATCAGAGTGCTTAGGAAGAAAGCTGTTCCCATCAGTGTACCGATTTATCAAGCACTGATTGATTGCTGAACTAGGACATCCTTCCTTTATCTTGGAGACAAGCTTATTAAGAACCTCAGGAAATTCTGTTGATGTCGGTTTTTCAGCTTTAGCCCCCGGGTACTGATAAGGTTCGCCAAAGCTCACAACCCCATGTCCATTTTCGGAGTTACTATCAAAGGCTTCCTTCTGTTGGTCTAAGAAAACTGAAAGCTCAGAGTTCAATTTTTCATCTACAAATTCTGGGACATACGACAGAATGTGCTTGGACTTAGGGTCGTCTACACTTGCATGCTTCTGTGCATCTAGGAGAAGCTGTTCTTGGTCCATTTCACATGGTGCGGGTGACCCTATATTAAAAGGAGGCATGGGCAGATCAGGGGTGGAAACATTTGATGACCTACTGTTTTTAAAACAGCTAAGCAGATACATAGATGGAGTTGCTATCGAAAGATATAGAACTCAGGTATCCAACATCGTACCTTGATTATATTGTAGTATTTTCTCATAAATGCTAAAAAATGACCTCTGAGGTTCGAACCGGGATGAGCTCAATAACATAAGCCGCCTTAGCCGCCGTGCTACTAGAGGCTCAGCAGATTTACAATATGTAACGCTATAATCTATATAAAAATACGCGCACGCAAGTAACTTTTCTTTATTTTATGGATCCAAATAAAAGCGACATACCCACAATTCTGAGAAATAAACCTCGCGCGACATAAAGCGACATAATCGCAATTTCGCCCACACATTTGCTAGAACACCTCCTTGGATAGAGCAAAACGGTTACCAGTATTTTATTTGTTGCATTCTCTTTGAAAAGTAATTAAAATGTATATTTAAAACCCATGAAGTCTGAAAGAAGTCAATGTAGAAATATAAATTGTCTTTTAACCCTATGTCATAGGGATGTTTTGAAATTTACTTCATGGGCCTGGCACGCGCGCATACAATGCCAAATACGCGGCACTTTTTTCAAGCTTCTCGCATTCGAAATTGAATCCGCGCTAGCTAAATTGTTTGCCCAAATGTTTTAATTTTTTAGCGCGATGCATAAATGCATGAATGGGCTGTGCCGTGCATCAAGTAATGCTTTTCGCAACTGACAACTACTTTTGTTGGTCATTGGTTCATAATAAAATATTTTGCTCAGCTCAAAATTATCGCCAACCTTAATTTCAGTTAAGTCTTACCTAGATTGCTAGTCTATTGCTTGCTCCTCTCACGTAATTCGAGAAGCTCAAAAAGAGCGCCGCGTGCATTAAGGAAAACAAAATCCCCTTGCATTCGCTCCCTGCAAACCTCTCACCGACAAAAGCACCAGCCATCAGATAATAATTTTAGGGCGTCCACAGACGCCTGAACACCATCAATAGCTGCCATTGGAACCATTATTGATGGTTAAATGAGGAGGGGTCCTGCCAAAAGATCAATAATCTTCTTAGGATACCCTTTAGTACATCTACATTCTAGATTGTATTGTACTGTATACAGTGGCGAGACGCACCTGTGTGCCGCCCCTGCAAATATTTTTACTGCCCCCAAAAGTACCCCAAATATTTTTTTTACGCATTGATGAATGCTCCCCTAAGGCGGACTGTATACACTATACATAGTACTATATTACTTGTTGATTAATAATTAACACCCATACATAGTGTTCTTGTAAAATCACACTCAATGGAAATGTGGCTTGGATTCTTGATTCTTGATTGGGAATAGTAACAACTGTTTCTTAAAACATAGCCTGCCGTACAACACGTTGCTGGATAACAAAGACTGTATATCCCTAAATGTGTCTTGTAGCTCAAATTTTAGGCTACTGCACTAAATGAAAGTCTTAGTATGTTGTTGATAGTTCGATTGATAATAGATCATAACTTAAAACTGTCCTATGCTATGCATATTTTCAAATCACATTGACGTTCAACTCATTAGGTCACCTATGCATGAATATCTCTGAAAAAACTAATCTACAATATTCTCATTAGCAGGCTCAAAAATGGCATCAGCTACTAATGAAACTAGTTCATTAGATACAGATTTGCAGAGGATTAGGTTGGAAGAGAGGCATCTGCAAAAATTTAAAGCAGAGAAGATAGCTGAAAAGTGGCGTCAACAGGACAAATATATCGATTTCTTAGAGGATAAGTTAGATCAACTGAAGGACCAATCTAAATCAAAGTTAGATTCGCAGAATCAAGATTCAACCAGAAGAGAAAATATTTTGATTATGAGACTTGCAAGCAAAGAACAGGAGGCCCAAGATATGATAAACCAAATTCAGGTAATGCTCTATAGTCTCAAAATGTATCTATATTATAAAAGAAGTCTTCAAAGTTCATGAAATAATTACAAGATGTCATGTATGTTCTTATATATTTCTTTAGATTTCATCTGCATTTGGTTGCAATTTTTGAAACATTTAATAACAAAACTTATCTACTCAATCTACAATTTTTAATCAAATGCAAATTTCAGGAACTGAAATGTTCTCTGGCTCCTTCAACAAGTAACTTGCGGACAACCCTATTGGATCCTTGTGTAAATTTGCTTTTCCAGAAGATGCAATCTCAAATAAAGGAACTCCAGGGTAAGCTAGCAAAAGCAGAAGAAGAACTCAATGCCTGGTCTTTTACTGCTGACAGTGTGACAGGAAAGGTTAGTTCTTATCTATTTATTCATACTATTTTTCGACTATGGTCATCATGAAAATAGAGAAACAAAATATCATCCTACTCATATTATTCTTATGTATGTTCTGATTTGGCAACCAAAGCCAGATGTTTATAGTATCATTCTTGGTAAATGGTAAGTCTCTCATTGAATCTAAAGTTTTTCCTAACTAGTTTTTTATTTCAGAAACTGATGGGGAAATGCAGAATGTTGATTGACGAGAACGAAGAGTTGGGACGTCAGTTATCACAGGGTCGTGTAGCTCAGCTTCAAGCTGAACTGTCTCTGCAAAAGAGTGCAAATGAAGAAATGCAGAAGAATTTGGATGAAATGACTGGATTTGTTCTTCAGCTAGATGAGGAAGTGAGTCTTAATATGTGGATATTTTAGTTAACTCACAGAAAAAGTGTTTTTATTTCAAGATTTGTACCATTTCATAGTTTTGTGCTCTTATTGAATTTTTACACTACAATTTGCATTATACATTTTAATGTTACATTTTCACAGGTCGAAGGCATGCAGGCAACTATATTGCATCTACAACAGCAACTTAAATACACACAAGACAAGTTGAAGACAGCAAATGAAAAGCTAGAAAAAAATTATGAGGTGAATTTTCAAATTTACTTTTAATTATTTTTGTTTTAGGCTTTTCCATTTATGGGTCCATGTAATTGCGGTCATCGCTTGCGATGAGCTTCCGTGTTTGGTTGCCCATCAAATTTTACAGATGGTGTATCATCAGTTCGTATTATTTAATTTAATTTCTCCATTTCTGTAATCAGTAAAATTTGAAAAGTATTTAATAAAAAAAAGTATATTTACGTGAAACAGTTTATTGCAATTGATAGTGGCTGGCTGAAGTTTTCAAATGATCTATGTTGCATAAATTTCGGCCTCAAAAAACCGCTCTCCTTCTTTTACCTCTCGTCATTTTAATTGTTGAAAATAACTAGCTTGTTTTAGGATAAAAGAAGGGATGAAGCAGAATCGTCATCTAAAATAAAATCAGAAAAGTACGACGATGATGAGAAGGTAAGGATTAGATAAAACGTTAAAAGTCCAGTTTTGTTTTTATATTAGTTCTGTAACCTGGTCCTTTCATTTTAGCCTACTTATTACTTACATATTTTATCGATGCCCAACTTTTATTATAACTGCAAAACGTCTTACTGTAATTTGTAATTTGTTTAAACTCAGGTTAAAAAGTACCCACGATCACTAAAATTTTAGTTAAGTAAGTTGAAGCTTGCTGTTTCAAAACCTTGCCTGAACCCATTTCTTGCAGCAATTGATGATTTAGTAGAATTTATGTTTGCCATAATGTCTAACATTTGCTTCACACTAGTTTTAACCATGACATAATCTTAATGGTGTAAATGGCACTTGGCATATTAACTGATTACTGAATAACGTTAATGAAGTTATTATTTTTAAATGCAAAATGAAGAGGTCATACTGCAGACATTGAAGTGCACTATCAGTAAAGCATAGAATACTCTAAATTTGCTGCTGATAGAGACGCATATATTGCTTAATCATAAAACCTTCAGGATCTAGTCCTAGACTGCTCAGGAGCTTAAAAATCCATTAAGAATTATCATTACTCGCTATTTTAAAAATAACTTCATGATTTCAGCTTAGTATCGTTTGTTTAAATTCCTTTTTATTACTGCGCCCTTTCTTTTTCAATATTTGCTTTAATCACTGAAACAAGAACCATTGATTGCTCTTTCAAACTGTTTTACGTTTGTCCTCGACTGTTGAATTACTGATCTAAACCATAATATATATCATCAGATTTGAAAAATTCAAAGAAGTGATATTAAACTTTTGATTCGGGTTCAGCAGGGACTAGATAAGACCTCAGTCGTGTAATGGGTACATGTAATAGGTACATGTAGCATGGTTATGATATGTAACCAAACTTATAAGTCTCTAGAAAAGGGCAGGTTATTCTCGAATGAAATATCAAAATGTCCTGAACGTCTTGTTGAACTGAACATCAAGATATATTTCAGTTCTAGTATCCAATATAATCAGAACTTAACGTAATTATTTTCATCACACATATTGCAATCACAATAGTGCTTTAACATTGCCCCTGCGTTTCTAACTATTAGTAATGATACTAATAGTTTAAAATGGGTAGACTAACTTCCTTGGCAAATGCCCCTTCCTAGTTGGACCCGATTAGGAAATTTGGCATTATATGAGAGAAAACTTAATCAAGGTATTTGACAGCAGGATAAGAGGAAACGGTCAGAAGACGAGGAAGAAGTCGTTAAAAAGAAGAAAGATAAGGTGAGAAGTAAGTCAGGCAAGGAAAGTAAGAGGAATAAACACAAGGATAAGAGCCAAAACGATGAGAACTGATATAATCTTCAATGTTTATAATATGTATAATTTTGAAATGGTCTTATCAAAAATGAGTGGGTACCATCTGTGGAACTTGTTATATTTTCTTATTTTTTAATTAAACATTTTTATGATTACGTTCCACATAGACATGAAGAATTATAAACTATTTTCCTTGAACC